ACTTTGCTTATTGAACATATGAGGATGAATGTTACATATTTTTGAATGTATTCACTTGATGTCAATGAAAATCACCGCTTTGTGATGTGCACGAGTTTGTGGATTTAACCAACGCAAATGCAATGTGATGGGAACATGGTTCTTCAGGACTTGAGTTCAGTTTGTTGGGAAGGAGGTCAGATGGCCCCAGTGGGTCGAGGGAGGGATAGAGAGTGCTCCATGAGCTAAAATAATGTCACCGCACCCAGTCATTATTTGGCTGTTCTATTGGTGAAAACAGGTGATAGATCGATAAATATATTACCGCGTTTCGTCTTCAACAACTACTGTTACTGTTGTTACCAGTATTCATTCAACTAGAATTAATTTATGATTCTCACATGATCATCGGTTTAAATAGCCTTAGCCTGGCTTTGCTAGAACCCGACACAACATCGTTTCGAACAAGTAACTATTCCAGTGAGTTCTGGAAGATCATTTACAGCTATATATCACCCCCAGTTATATGGACCTTCGTTCCAGTATATGCCGGAATCGACTTTCAATAACTCTACTTGTTAGGTAATCCATCCTTCTCTGTTGTCTGTTTTGTTTTGTTCTTCTTGTTTATCTATCCTACTACATACATATCTCTCTGAGGGGCGATTACAACTGCTCATTGCAATGTTTTGGAACGCGCGAATATTCACAAATTTCTCCAGAAAAGGATTCCTGAATATTGTTTCGCCTTCGTGATGACCACGTCGGTTTAGTTCGAGTAGCTCTGTCAATAGGTTCTCAAATTGCCAATTTCTGTGCAACAACCAACGCCAATTATCCTTTGAAGCTTGCGCATTCTAGGTTGTCGAATTACCACACTTTCACATTGTTTCTCTACGAATAGTTAATAACCCCCCCCCCCCTCTGGGGGAGGAGTAGGGAAACCAGTAACAGGTAGACGGGCAAAGGGTAGCCATCCGTGAACCAAATTGGCGCGGTCAACTGAAGCAGAATGGAACAAAGGAAAGAACTATTGGGAAATGGTTCCAAGTTCTATGTGGTAATGATTCGCCTTTTTTGAGTACCATCGTGGATAACGATTAGCAGATTTTGAGCAATAAACCGATTCTTGCAAGTTTACATTGTTTAAACATTTGTATGTGGAAAATTTAACTTCAAAAATTAATAATAACAACCATGACAGTCTCGAACAGGACATTTTCTGATTTGGAAGGAACACTGTCTCTCATTGAGGGTTTGAGCTAGGGCGATTCGGCTGTCACATTTTGTCAAAAAAACAAATCTCTTTAGCTGACAGTGCAAAAGAGCCCGCAGTAAACGGAGCTACTATTCAATCGTACAACAAGGAGCCTCGGATCATAGAGCGGCGTTTCCCAATGTTTCCCTTTTACTAAGACAACCTATCCATGCAGAATAGAACTGCTTGATTTTTCATATTTTAAATAGTTTTCCTCAAGGAAGATATTTTTATTTCGCTATCAGACTACAAGCGAGCCTATTCACCACTGTTCACGATAATAAGCGTAGAGTGAACGATGCGTTTCACAAGAACACAAGTCATACTTTGGTTCTGGGTGATTTTTGTAGAAAACAGTTAAAATTCCACTGTCAAATCTGACAATCCATTTCATATGGACAGTTACTCGGTTGGTCGTTCGAGACTGGTACCCCTGTGTGTGTTGTGTGTGTTTTAGACAGAAGAACAGAATGTTTCTACCTTGGGCCATGTCATATTCACTTTTCAAAGCCGAACCAAGTTATCCCTGCGCTGGAAACAGAGAAAGATTGGTTCGATAAAATAAAATACCCTGATTGATAAGCTAACCGGTACCTACTTGTGCAATCAATCTGTCGACGGACAGTGGCCATGTGATTGTAAGGTCACACACCCGATCGGTTCAGTAACGAAAAAGCTAACACGTTGTTCTATAGTAATTCGTTTGTTTTCAGACCTGAGAGTGGGAATCCAGTTGAAATCCGAAGCACCAGTCAAACTGGATAGCATATACACAAGACACAGATAAGTATACATATTTGGTAAGATATGTGCACAGTGGCTGAGGGAGGAAACATGCCAATCTATGTATCCCCTTCTGTCACAGCCGCGAAAATTCAGTGCTTGCGACACGAGGACAACAAGCTTCCTTGCTTCCGCAGCGAGTATCAAACTCCTCCCATGAATGACTCTCGCTCTCTCTCACTCACTTTCGTCAGGCGTACTACGCGAATCATGTGTCAACGCGACCGAGCTCGTCAGTGGCCCAGAGTGAGAGCGACGTGCCGCACGAAGCAGCTGCTTGTTTTTGTCACTGTCAGCCACATTGTAGCAACTGGCCCGTTTCCCACTGGCTCTCACGATTGGACTAGGCTGCGTGGAAATTTAAAAACAGTTTTCACTGCCACTACCCCCCTCCTCGTTCGGCATATCCCCGGTCAACTCCCGTACTGTCTACCATATTACTACTGCTACTACTGCTATCCCCTTTACCACCACAAACTGGAATCTCTCTTAGACACACACACACAACCCCCTCATCCAAAATCGAATCCACTCTGTGCACCCAAACTACTCTGCCGAATTAGAGGACGATGACCGGATGCGGTGAAACTAACTTTTTTGTCCCACATGTGAACGTACATATTGAACTCAGATAGGCTGGGTGAATAATGGAGTGGCTTACTATTGGGTCAAACTCCAGATTGGTCACACTTAAACCGTCGTCTGCATAGGGGAATAAGGCGTGAGACGTGCCACGTTCCTTAACCGCCTCT